CTTCTTCTTCTTCTTCTTCTTCTCCTCTTCTCTTCTCCTCCTACTCCTCCACAGTTCTTTCCTCTACTTCTTCTTCTTCTTCTTCGTCTTGATCAGAGTAGAGATAGAGGTGACTGCGGACATTGTTTGGACACGGCATTCTGCCTTATTGGACACGRCATTCAGACCGGACTTACACGCTACATTGGGATTGAACTGTGCACGACATTCGGAGATCAGATGTGGGTTGGACTTGGTTACCTCCTATGTCCCTCCCCCCCCCTTCTCTCTCGCATGTCTATGGGTCTCTCCCTATGTGCGTGCGCGGAAGGGCAATCTTGCTAATGTCCTGCCCTTCCGAAGTTTCTCCCTTTCCTGTTGTTGTCCACGTGTCCTCTTGGTTACTATTATTCCGCTGCGCTGTTCCCCAGCCCATGATGATGATGATGCAAATGTGTTGTTGTTGTTTTTCTCGTTGGTTTACTTGTTGCATTGTGCACATTGGCATCTGGTGAATGTTGCATCTATGCTGCTGGTTGTTGCCACTTTCATCATTGCTAGATCCTAGGCTGTTAGTGCATTTCACTTTCTGATATGCTACATGGGACCTGTTTTCAGCAATATCAGCCGCCCTAAGTGAAGGCAGGCCTGACAGGGGACGAGAGGCCTATTTTGGGCTTTTCACGCAACTGGGAAATTCAGGCAGTTTCACAGCACCAGTTGGTTGAGTGAGCCGAGGCCCTGCCTGCCTTTTTCCAAGGGGCCCAGCGCAGCCAGGGCTAGACACGGCCGCCGGCAGTTGGACACGGGTAACCACCCCAGGCCCTGTGCCTGATTCCCTTGGAGCGGGCTCAGCCACTTGGGGCCTACCAGAAGCTTCTGGGCAGGGGCCCAGCGCAGCCAGGCAGCACGCAGCAGGCAGACCACTTCCGTAGAGGAAAGTGCCTGCCTCCGCATTCGGCATTCAGGCACTTGCTACATGCTGCGCTACTGGCTGGCAAGCGCCCACGTGCTCACGGGGGAGCAGGGTGCACACAGGCAGCCATAGCCGAGCTGGTCTGCGAGGGGCGCATGGTGGTCCTTGGGTGCACGTGGCATCTTTGTGGGGGATCGAGGTTGTGAGTGATGCATGAGACATACCTGGTTCTTGAGGCGAACGGCATTGGGCGATATCTGCTCGTACTTCGGGGAGCTGTTGACGTCACCAGCGGCATTGTAGATAGGCTAGATAGGATCTGCCATTCGTAGTCTGAGCGCTAAGCGCCAGATAGGAATTTGACATTGGTTCATTGTTGATGATGATGAGACTATTCCAACATTTTGCTGTGCTCTTATTTGGTGGAACTCGAGTTGCAATTCTGCTTTTGGTTCGAGGTCACGACTATCTGGTTTGATGTGTATGATGCTGCTTGGTTTCTGGAATTCGCTATCGCTCATTTTCCTTGCAGACTCATGTTTTCTCATTTATTTTTATCTTCAAATTAACAAGGAATTTCAAGGTGGCCCCATAGCAATTTTACACAGCGTAGTTTTTTTTCGGATTTTTTTTTTCTACTTTTTAAAAATTATGTGCTGGGATCGCCCGGGCCCTGACCGGCCCACGCCGCCCGGGAGGGTACCCGGGCGACCTTCCCCCAGCTGGGCTGCCCGGGTGGACTGCTTTTTTTCTAGTTTCTTTTTTTCTTCTTCGGGAACTGCTGCAGTTTCAGCCATCCTACCGGTAGCCCAACTCAGTATGCCACGCTATCTTACTACCGGTCCCCCCAAAATTTTCACGTCAGGGGGAGCGGTGGTACAACTCCGTTTGCGAACCAGTCTGGTGCTTTGGATGTAGGACTATTCCATCCCCTCATTCTTTCAGCTCCTGGCATGAGGTTTCTGGGCACGCCATCTTGTGTGTCCTAGATACAAAAAACGACTGCTGTCTCTCAGCCATGCCCCCTGGGAAATCCGGTATTTGAGTTCGTGACCTGCCTGATAGACCAGGGCGCTAAGTTATATGCCCATCCAAATCTCTTTAACGCACATCTCTTGAACTGCTATGTAATGCTCCAACTCTGGTGACTGAATGTTACACACGTAGAACTACCCGTCAACAGGTTGAATGCCTGCCTCCTCTACGATTGCACCCTGTTATGGACCGAGTGGGTCATTTTACAAAAATATTTAGGAAATTTGAGGGCCAACCCCACTATCGATCTCGCGACCTGTTGTTGTGTGAATCCTCTTTCCTTGCTTTCTTTCTTGCTTTGCGTGGTTGGTGGCTTATCCACCTGAACATGTGCATAATGCGATTGTCTTTGACAATGCCTGTAACAGTTGCGCCGCCTCTGCCGAACGTACGGAGTGACTGTGACCATTGAAACGACAAACACTAAGGAGTCTCTTTTTCGAGCGGCAGTCAGTTTTGGTCTTTCTGCTTGCACCAGGTGAATCTCTCTTTTGAAAGAAAAATAATCTGATTATCCTGTCAATCGTCAATTCGATTCTGTTGGGGCTTGCTTGCAAATATTCAGAAATAGGGCCTCGGTCCACTACACACCACATGCACAAATGAAAAAAATTATGGCGGTGTGTCTTTCCATGTTTGAGCGGAACATTCATTCCCGTTTTGCACAATTGACGAGTACTGGAGCAAGGCCCATAGAGTTGACTCTTCCTTCATTCATTTTTTGACCTTCATCGTCGTGCATGTTTACAAATGCCAATGTGATGCAACTGGAAACAAACTCTCGAATATTCTCGCTAGCTCTCACGGTGCTGCTTGGACGTGTGTGTGAGCGGGTAGGATCAAGACTGTACTAGGAGTCAATGCTGCTGGCTTGGTCTGTGCATTGTTCATGTTTCATACGTTTCTCTGTGGAGGTTGTCTGTTAGGGCATACTACCATGGGGACTTTGCTGGACGAATCCCACTGACTGATGTTTCATGTTTCATACGTTTCTCTGTGGAGGTTGTCTGTTAGGACATACTACTATGGGCCAGATGCAGTTCAGGAAGTCCCAGTGTGAGTTTGCCTTCCGCCTCTTGTGGGAACTTGTGTTGTAGAACCAGAAGTCAGCTGGGATTTCATGGTTCATGGAAGGTGGCCATATGCGAGGCTGAAGCCCCGATGAGCCCCGTTTCAGGCCCTACCATACAGCACGTCGGCCGCCCTTAGTGAAGGCAGGCTCGACGAGGGCCTGAGGGCCCTTATTTTGGTCACCACGCAACTCAGGAAATTCAGGCAGTTGCGCAGCGCCAGTTGGTTGAAGAAACCCACACCCTGGGCAGCCTGTGTGAATGTATTGAAGGCAGGCCGTGGGTTGGATTCGGGATGTGGGCCTAACACAGGCCGTTGACAGTTGGGCACGAGCAACCACTACAGGCCCAGGGCCTGAGATGTGCGGACTGGGCCTCAGCCTACCGGGGCCTACCGGAAGCTTCTTGGGAAAGGCCCAGCGCAGCCTGGGACAGCAAGCAGGCAGGCCACTTCCATATAGCAAAGGGCCTGCCTCAGCATTGGGCATTCGGGTGCTGGCTGCATGCTGTGCTGTAGCTCTCTGGCACTCACGCGCTGACGGGCGAGCAGGAAGGAGCAGGCAGCCATAGCCGAGCTGCGCTGCTGTAAGCTGGGTGTGGAGCAGGGTGGTCCTTGGGTGCAAGTGGCATCTGTGTGTTGGGGAACGAGGTTGTGAGTGAAGCGAGAGACAAGCGAGAGACATACCTGGTGCTGGAAGCATGCGGCGTTGGCCGCTATCTGCTCGTACTTCGGTCAAGCTGTTGTCGTCATCTTCGGCATTGTAGTATAGGCTAGATAGGATCTGCCATCTGTAGTCTGGGCGCCGAGCGCCAGGTAGGGTATCAACTTTGGTTCTTCGTTGATGATGATGATGGGACTATTTCAGCATTGTCAATTATGAACTCTTGGTGTGTTCTTATTTGGTGGAACTCGTGATGCAATTCTGTTGTTGGTTCGAGGTCACGACTATCTGGTCTCATATGTATGATGCCGTTTGATTGCTGAAGTTCACTTTTGCTCATCTTCCTTGCAATTTGGTATCAGCTCTGTGGTACGTTGCGCTCATCTGGCGCTTGTCTTCTGCCTTATGCTGTACATACATGCGGTCTGCTTGGTGAGTGTGGCCGTAGGCGGTGTGTAGTGAGGAGGGCGGAGACACGATTAGGCGACCCAGGAGGTGAGGGGATCGCCTGGAAGGCTACGGTGCGTATATTGGGTGTTCGCAGTGTGATGAGAACTATCTGGTGGTTGATTGATGCTGAGGTGGAACGGCGAGTCAATGCTGGTCATGCCGATGCAGTGACTGGTCATCGCAATCGCCATCAGGTCATCTGGTGAGAATATCTGTGGTTGGGGGCAGCTATATTGAGGTACGTTGCTCTTAACCTTATCTACCCTCTTCATCACTTCTTACCGTGAGGTTGTGAGTTCCATCTTGAGAGTCCTCTCATGTGAGGTGTCGTGTGCGCTCAACCTTGAGAGTCGGCATACTTCCCGTGGAGCATCTGGAAGGAGAGGGAGGTGCTTTCTGAAGGGCCCTGGACGAAGCACTGGGTCATGGTCACCATGCCAACCCACCGGGAGTAGAGCACGCATGCTTTGCTGCTTTGTCCTTGTCTGCTTGCTGCGCTCATAGAAGGGGTACTGCAGGGCAGGCGAGCCCTATGGGAGAGACGAGTACCGGGCGTCTATAAATAAACACCGGCAGGGGAAACCACTGGCTGTGATTGTCGTCCTGCTGCGACGTAAAATAATTCCTGATGTCACTTGGGGGCGGACGTTAAATTGCCTCTTGATCAGCCAGTTGGTGTAAGGCTCGCTGCACGCGAGGGTAAACACTGTGCAGGGCTGGCCAGCTCAGCAGCTACTCGGGGCACAGGGGTGGGCCATGTGCACACCTTTAGTCACGCACGCAACCGGATCACTCAGGGACGCTGACGTTAAGTGACAATCAAGTGGGATTGGGGGAAAGGGTAGATTCCAGGTGATAAGTTTGAGAAAGATTCCATGCTGTGAGCAGACCCAACAAATGACAGTATTTTTATTTTGATTGGTTAGATGTACAGCCATTGACATCTGACAGACAGCGTAGCTTCGAACTGTTCATTGTTCTTTGTGCTTCTGTTTGCGGACTAATCCAAGTAGAGTAGTGTTATTTGTAGGAATCTGCACTTACCTGTTTGACCCAAATGTATCTACTCCGAATTAGCCACCAATTAATTATTTATTTATTTTAAATTGGACTGGGCATTACGCTCTGGTAGGTACCTAGTGTAACCTAGTGCAAATTGTTCTAAGTGCTGTAGCTTATGAGTGATAGGGAGGAACAGCAACCAGACGACCAGATCCTGCGATCAGCAAGACGCCCAATTGCCCACTTGGCATTAGGACCAGAGGGCGACATATACCTGTTCCGCCAGCGTAGGGAGAGGCTGCAGCAGCAGAGAGCTAGGGACGCAGAAGCCAGCAGAGCCTTAGCAAGTGAAGCCGCTGCTTTGGTAGCCATGGCTAGCGCTGCTCAGCAAACCTCTCAGGCTGGGAGTTCAGGAACTGTAGGGTTAACTGCGGCGCAGACCCAGAGTCGGTCGGCTGGTGTTATGGCAAGCCAGTCAAATGTCTTCGGACCCTGCCTCCAGACCTGTGGGCCTGGGCCAAAACGTGTGGCCCAGGGAAGCTTCCAGACGTTTGGCCTTCTGGGCCAAAACGTGTGGAACTCTCTGCGTGCTCCAGAACCTTCCCCCACGTGCAGCCCTTACCCAGGTACATGCTGGCTGGACCACCTTACGGAACCCTACGGACTTCTAGAACCTACAGACTCTACAGACTTTCGACAGACTCAGTAGAGACTTCTAGAACAGACTTTCTAGGCCTATTGGTAACAGACCTAGCTGCTAATATACAGACCTAGGGATCAAGTCCTACTGGCTAAACTACAGACTAACCTAAGTCGTAGGACAGGTTTGGGGATCGAATCCTACTCAGGTCACGGGGTCTATGTACAGGTACAAGGTAGGTCTAGGGATCGAATCTCACTCAGCACACAGGGTCAATGCACAGGGTTAGGACACAGGTCTAGGGATCGAATCTCACTCAGCACACGGGATCTTTGTACAGGGTTAAGGCACAAGTCTAGGGATCAAATCTCTGTGACTGCAGTACCAGGTCAACTGGGTGAAACCGTTTCACTCCCGCCGTCCTAAATTCGAGGTCCTCCGAGAACACTCTAACTCGAGGCAGGACCTTTACCTTTTCTTTCCCTCTCGTAGGCGTGTACTATGTCGGGAGCGGTTTCTAAAAGCTATGTTCTTGTAAACCACCGGTCGTCCTCGGGTTCCTGGTATGCGAACCTAACTTTGTACTGTTTCTGGGGACGACCTCGGCCTCCTGTCCTAAGCACGTCCTCTTCCACAATGCGCACTATATCATACGCGCCATCCATGTCTGGAGGAATCATCGACCTTCTGGAAGGGAACCTGTCAGACGTGGTGCAAGGTAAAAACTTAGAGGCGTGGAAGACTGGGTACGTGTGGAGGTGCGTTGGGATCTGTATCGTATACGACGGGCCATCCTCTCCTCCTTTGACTTCTAGGACAGGCCACGGTCCTCTATATGCAGGTGAGAGCTTCTGCGAGATGTTTTCCTCCGGTGCGAACTCCTTTGACTTGACCCAGACTAGGTCACCTACCTGAAACTATGAAGGTCGGTGGTGCTTGTTAGCCTGCTCTATCATGCGGTGCTGGGCCTTCCTCAGGTTGTCTGTGACCTTAGCAATCTCTTGCTTATGATGGAGCGCGAAGCCTCGAGTACCGGGTGGAAGTCTCTGGATCTGGTCCTGGTTTAGTCCTTCTAGTGGTCGCCTAGGTTTAAAAAACTTATGTAGCTCATTAGGAGTCCGACAAGTAGCTAAGTGAACGCTGTTGTTGTAGGCACTTGCTACTTTGGGAAGCAACTCGTCCCAGTCTAGCTGATCTGGTCTAATGTACATTCTGAGTAGATGTTGCAAGATCTTATTCATCTGTTTTGTCTGACCGTTAGTCTGGGGGTGTCGCCCTGACGACATCAACAACTTAGACCATCTGTTTTGTCTGACCGTTAGTCTGGGGGTGTCGCCCTGACGACATCAACAACTTAGACCCGTATACTTTCATAAGATCTTGCCAGTTCTGGCTGGTAAACCGCGTGTCCCTATCACTTACTATGGACAATGGCATACCATGCTCGCTTACCCAAAAATCAAAGAACTTCCTTATAACTAACTCTGTAAGGGCCTCTGAAGGCAAGGAACAAATACTGCATACTTACTAAATCTGTCTACTATGACCATGACTTGAGTATTTCCATGTCTGCTTCTGACCCCAGTATCCATGAAGTCAATGGACACTGAATCTCCGGGTCCTGAGGGAATAGGCAAGGGTCTAAGAAGACCTAAAAGGGCTCTAGTCGTAGCTTAGTGATGCCATTTGGACTTACTAATGCACCCACAACATTTCAACCTTATATGAACAACTTGTTTAGAGCCTGGCTAGATATTACAACGTGGTAGCTGATGCGCTAAGCAGGAGATCTGATTATTTCGGCGCGATAGTACACTATCTAGACATAGGGGCCGATCTGCAGCAGAAAATAAGAGATGCCTATGCACAGGACCCAATCTACAATGAGCTGCTGAAAAGAGTAAGGGAAGCCCCAAATAGTGAGCCACACTACCGGACCACGAATGGGCTACTGTTTGAAAAGACTAATGTCGCTGACAGGCTATGCGTCCCCAATAGTGAAGAGATCCGTAGTCTGATCTTAGGGGAATGCCACGATACAGAAGGGCACTTTGGATGGCATAAGACTTTAGCTAACCTGATGATGTCCTATATGTGGCCAGGCATGAAAGCAGACTGCACAGAATATGTGCGCAGTTGCAAAGTGTGTCAACGTAATATGAACTCGTAATGCCCATACCTTGTCCTGAACGCCGTCTTATACTGATCGTTAGTGTGCACCTCTAT